TGGCAGGAGTGAGTGACCAGTATCAAACAGTATGCAAGGCCAGCCAGGGCCGTCAACATGCAAACCACAAATAGGCGAATGAAACTTGCGCTCAATGGTGAGGTGAAAAGTTGCCAGCTGCTGATGACGAAGTCGTCGTACGTAGGCCTTAAATCCCTATTTTGGAGATCCTTCACCCGTGATGTTTATAACCATATATTCTCATACATCCCGCTTCCTCACGCGATGTCACTCTTCACTGATGATAGTATACACTTCACATTATATACACTTCACTTTATATGTATAATGGCACACAACTTGTCGTGACGTCACTTCTTCAGGCCTACCGCTGCCAATGTGGCAACAGCGCCTAAGACCCCCAACGGTTTGCGCTTTGAAATATTTTGATTTCAGCTTTCCTCTCACTTTTTTTAACTAATAACTTTAATTATCACTCATAGTATTGTTCACTGACGTTCCACTACCACTGATTACTGCTAGCTGTTATTGCACGCCTTACAACGCTAAGGTTCTCGGAGCCTTCTTACCCAGGTCTGCACCCCATGGACCCACGCGTCTGTGTGTGTGTGTGTGTGTATGTGTGTGTGTGTGTGTATGTGTGTGTGTGTGTGTGTGTGTGTGTGTGTGGGTGTATGTGTGTGTGTGTGTATGTGCGTGTGTGTGTGTTTGTGTGTGTGTGTATGTGTGTGTGTGTGTGTGTGTGTGTGTGTGTGTGTGTGTGTGTGTGTGTGTGTGTGTGTGTGTGTGTGTGTGTGTGTGTGTGTGGTGTGTACTCACCTAATTGTACTCACCTAATTGTGGTTTCAGGGGTCGAAACTCAGCTCCTGGGCCCGCCTCTTCACCGACCGCTACTAGGTCCTCTCTCCCTCTGCTCCATGAGCTTTATCATACCTCGTCTTAAAACTATGTATAGTTCCTGCCTCCACTACATCGCTTGCCAGACTATTCCACTTCCTAACTACTCTATGACTGAAGAAATACTTCCTAACATCCCTTTGACTCATCTGAGTCTTCAGTTTCCAATTGTGACCCCTTGTTTCTCTGTCCCATCTCTGGAACATCCTGTCTCTGTCCACTTTGTCTATTCCATGCAGTATTTTGTATGTCGTTATCATGTCTCCCCTGACCCTCCTGTCCTCTAGTGTTGTCAGGCTGATTTCCCTTAACCTTTCTTCATAGGACATTCCCCTTACTCTGGAACTAGCCTTGTTGCAAACCTTTGCACTTTCTCTAATTTCTTGACGTGTTTGACCAGGTGTGGGTTCCAAACTGGTGCTGCGTACTCCAGTATGGGCCTGATGTACACAGTGTATAAAGTCTTGAACGATTCCTTACTGAGGTACCGGAACGCTATTCTCAGGTTTGCCAAGTGCCCATATGCCGCAGCAGTTATCTGGTTAACGTGTGCTACTGGCGATGTACTCGGTATTATACTCACTCCTAGGTCTTTCTCCTTGAGTGAGGTTTGCAGCCTTTGGCCACCTAGCCTATACTCTGACTTTGCATTTGGCGGGATTAAATTCTAGGAGCCAGTTTCTGGACCACACATCCAGCCTGTCTAGGTCTCTTTGTAGATCTGTCTCGTCGGCGTCTGATTTAATTCTCCTCATTAACTTCACGTCATCTGCAAACAGGGACACTTCTCAGTCTATCCCTTCCGTCATGTCGTTCACATATACCAAAAATAGCACTGGTCCCAGGACTGACCCCTGTGGGACCCCGCTCGTCACAGGCGCCCACTGTGATACCCCATCACGGACCATGACTCGCTGTTGCCTCCCTGTTAGGTATTCTCTGATCCATTGCAGTGCCCTTCCTGTTATACGTGCCTGTTCCTCTAGCTTCTGTACTAATCTCTTGTGAGGAACTGTGTCGAAGGCCTTCTTGCAGTCCAAGAAAATGCAATCAACCCACCCCTCCCTCTCATTTCTTACTTCAGTTACCTTGTCATAAAACTCTAGTAGGTTTATGACACAGGATTTGCCTTTCATGAATCCATGCTGGCTGTCATTTATAATCTTGTTCCTCTCCAGGTGTTCTACCACTCTCCTCCTGATAATCTTTTCCAAGACTTTGCATACTATACAGGTCAGTGACACTGGTCTATAATTTAGTGCTTCATTTCTGTCTCCCTTCTTAAAGATGGGGACTACATTTGCCTTCTTCCATACTTCAGGTAGTTGCCCAGTTTCAAGGGAAGTGTTGAAGATTTTGGTTAGTGGCACACGTAGTGTCCCTGCTCCCTCTCTAAGGACCCATGGAGAGATGTCCGGTCTCACCGCCTTTGAGGTATCAAGGTCACTTAGGAGCTTCTCCACCTCCTCCTCAGTTGTGTGTAATTCATCCAACACTTGTTGGTATATCCCTTGTTGCTGTACCCCACTGTTTTGTCTTCCCGTTGTCCCTTCAGCCTCCACTGTAAATACTTCCTGAAATCTCATGTTGAGCTCCTCACATACCTCCTGGTCGTTTCTTGTGGGCTCCTCACCTTCTTTCCTCAGCCTGATTACCTGGTCCTTGACTGTTGTCTTCCTCCTGATGTGGTTGAAGAGTAGTTTCGGGTCAGACTTGACTTTCGATGCTGTCATTTTCATACTGCCGCTGCACCTCCCTCCTTATCTGTGCATACTCGTTTCCGGCTCGTCGACTAATCTCTTTATTCTCCTGAGTCTTTTACCTTCTGTACTTTTTCCATTCTCTAGAGCACTTAGTTTTTGCCTCCCTGCACCTTCGGGTAAACCAAGGGTTCGTTCTGTCCTTCCCATTATTTCTGTTACCCTTGCCTCCTTGCATTTTGTTGTTACAAAGTCCATCATTTCGTTTACTGATTTTCCTACCAACTCCTGTTCCCACTGAACCTCCTGCAGGAAGGTCCTCATTCCTGTGTAGTCTCCCCTTTTATAGTTTAGCTTTTCCCTTTCTACTCCTGTTACCCTCTCCACTTTTAGCTCCACAATGTATTCAAAGCTCATAACTACGTGGTCACTAGCTCCAAGGGGCCTTTCATATGTGATGTGCTCAATGTCTGAGCTACTCAGGGTGAACATCCTCCCCTCTCTCTCTGGTAGTATCCCTAACATGTTGGTGCATGAGATTTGCCAGCACCACATCCATTATCTTGGCTCTCCATGTTTCGGGACCCCCATGTGGCTCCAGGTTTTCCCAATCAATCTCCCTGTGATCGAAGTCGCCCATGACCAGTAACTTCGCTCTACTTGAGTGGGCCCTTCGTGCCACCTCAGCTAGAGTGTCCACAATTGCTCTGTTGCACTCCTGCAGTTCTGTGGTGGGTTATACATTACTGCAATGACTACCTTGTGTTCCCCTGACTGAACTGTACCTACATTTCTCCAATCTCGTCCATACCTTCAATTTCTTGATAACCCCACCGGTTTTTTATTAGTAGTGCAACCCCTCCTCCCCCCCTGCTCCTTCTATCCTTCCTCAGGATCTGATATCCGGGTGGGAAGATTGCATCTGTTATTATCCCAGTGAGTTTTGTTTCTGTAACCGCTACGATGTCTGGGGACAACTCCTTGATTCTTTCATGACACTCCTGTGTGTGTGTTTGTGTGTGTGTGTGTGCGTGTGTGTGTGTGTGTGTGTGTGTGTGTGTGTGTGTGTGTGTGTGTGTGTGTGTGTGTGTGTGTGTGTGTGTGTGTGTGTGTGTGTGTGTAGGTACACTGACTATAATTACATCAAGATCTAGTGAACTAGCTGAAATTTTACATTTGTTTCTTCAATAAAACAGAGGCTGACTACTTCTTGCTTCGACTTCAGGTTATGACCATCTTCAGCATGCTAAATATTTCTAATTATGTAGATCTATTTGTTACAGTTGTTTATAAGTGTGATAGTGACTTTTCTTCAGTTTTGTTCCCTTCCTTCCATCCATTACCATGAAACCAGCATCCTACCAGACTGGTTGATAGGATGTTAGATCCCAGGTCGCATCCTGGGTGGCTAGAAGCATCCTACACCTCACCTGTCAGTTGCTGATGACCACGACGGTGCTACTGTGTCTGCTGGAGGAGGCTGGCTGCCTGCTGCTTGAGACAAGAGAGAGAGAGAGAGAAAGAGAGAAAGAGAGAGAGAGAGAGAGAGAGAGAGAGAGAGAGAGAGAGAGAGAGAGAGATAGAGAGGAGAGAGAGAGAGAGAGAGAGAGAGAGAGAGAGAGAGAGAGAGAAGACAGAGAGAGACAGAGAGAGACAGAGAGAAATAGAGACAGAGAGAGACAGAGAGACAGATAGACAGAGACAGAGAGACAGACAGACAGACAGACAGACAGAGACGGAGAGACAGCGAGAGACAGAATTTTATGGTGAATATAGGAAGTAAATTTTTTTGATGAATTTTAATGATGATTAAACTCATATGAGAGAAGTAAGTGAAGTGAAAATAGTGCCCAGAAGGTCATAGTTAAGACACTAACAGTGGGAAACTGCAATCAACGAAAATTAATATAGTGAGAATATAAACTTAGTTATCTCAAGGGTTAATTACACATATATATATATATATATATATATATATATATATATATATATATAATATTATATAATATATATATATTATATATATATATTATATATATATATATATACATATATATGTCAAACTTTTTGCAGAAAAAACAAAATGAGTGAAGATACCGCATCGACCATCATTCAGTCTGTGACTCTGTTGTCAGAAGAAGAAGGGGAACATCCCGTTACAATAACCAACCAAACCCCAACAACAGAATCCTCTTTTAAAACTCAGGCGCGGTACTTGTCATCTCCAGGGCTCAAGTCCAACTAACAAGTTTTTCCTGAACTCTTTCATAAATATTATTTTACTCACACTATAACATCGTGGAAAATAATGAAAGAAACATACCTTACATTTAAATAAAACTCGTTCACATGCGTTACCAAACGTTCACACTAACACACTAACACACATGCTGGGAGCTGCACCCTCTCAGCAGGTAGCTGAGGATCATGGCAGTAACGTACCTGCTAGCTTCCTGATGCTGAGGTCAGCTTGCTCAGGAGTGTTGGCGTTCAGTACCTCCTTCAGCAGACTGGTGGAGACACGAACACGGGAGATGTTCTCTGCTTCCTTCACTAACTTACGTATAGAATCCTGCAGAATGTGAAGGAGATTAGTGTGTGTGTGTGTGTGTGTGTGTGTGTGTGTGTGTGTGTGTGTGTGTGTGTGTGTGTGTGTGTGTGTGTGTGTGTGTACCTAACTCTACTCACCTAATTGTATTTACTTAATCGTGGTTGCAGGGGTCGAGACTCAGCTCCTGGCCCCGCCTCTTCACTGAACGCTACTAGGTCCTCTTTCTCCCTGATCCCTTAGCTTCATCATACCTCGTCTTAAAGCTATGTATGGTTCCTGCCTCCACTACATCACTCGCCAGACTGTTCCACTTCCTGACCACTCTATGACTGAAGAAATACTTCCTAACATCCCTGTGACTCCTTTGAGCCTTCAACTTCCAAGGGTGACCCATCGTTTCTGTGTCCCCTCTCTGGAACATCTTGTCTGTCCACCTTGTCTATTTCACGCAGTATTTTGTGTGTCGTTATCATGTCTCTCCTAACCCTTCTGTCCTACAGTGTCGTCAGGCAGATTTCCCTTAACCTTTCTTCATAGGACATTCCCCTTAGCTCTTGAACTAACCTTGTCGCAAACCTTTGCACTTTCTCTAATTTCTTAACGTGCTTGACCCGGTGCAGGTTTCAAACAGGTGCTGCATACTCCAATATAGGCCTGACGTACTCGGTGTACAGTGTCTTGAACGATTCCTTACTAAGGTATCGGAACGCTATTCTCAGGTTTGTCAGGCGCCCATATGTTGCAGCAGTTATCTGGTTGATGTGTGCTTCCTGAGACATGCTCGATGTTATACTCACCCCAAGATCTTTCTCCTTGAGCGAGGTTTGCAGTCTTTGGCCTCCTAGCCTATACTCTGTCTGCGATCTTCTTTGCCGTTCTCCGATCTTCATGACTTTGCATTTGGCAGGGTTGAATTCGAGAAGCCAGTTGCTGGACCACGTGTCCAGCCTTTCCAGGTCTCTTTGAAGTCCTGCCTGATCCTCATCTGATTTAATTCCCCTCATCAACTTCACATCATCTGCGAACAGGGACACCTCTGAGTCTGACCCTTCCATCATGTCGTTCACATATACCAAAAATAGCAATGGTCCTACGACCGACCCCTGTGGGACCCCACTCGTCACAAGTGCCCACTGTGATACCTCATCATGTGCCATGACTCGTTGTTGCCTCCCTGTCAGTTATTCTCTGATCCATTGTGCAGTGCCCTTCCCGTTACATGCGCCTGATCCTCTAGTTTCTGCACTAGTCTCTTGTGAGGAACTGTGTCGAAGGCCTTCTTGCAGTCCAAGAAAATGCAATCAACCCACCCCTCTCTCTCGTGTCTTACTTCTGTAACTTTGTCATAAAACTCCAGAAGGTTTGTGACACAGGATTTGCCTTCCATAAATCCGTGCTGGTTGTCGTTAATAATCTTGTTCCGTTCCAGGTGCTCCACCACTCTCCTCCTGATAATCTTCTCTATGATTTTGCATACTATACAGGTCAGTGACACTGGTCTGTAGTTTAGTGCCTCTTTACTGCCTCCTTTTTTAAATATGGGAACTACATTTGCCGTCTTCCATTCCTCAGGTAGTTGCCCGGTTTCAAGGAATGTGTTGAAGATTGTGGTTAATGGCACACACAGCATTTCTGCTCTCTCTCTCTAAGGACCCACGGGGAGATGTTGTCCAGTCCCATTGCCTTTGAGGTGTGTGTTTGTGTGTGTGTACTCACCTAGTTGTACTCACCTAGCTGAGGCTGCAGGGGTCGAGTCCAAGCTCCTGGCCCCGCCTCTTCACTGGTCGCTACTAGGTCACTCTCCCTGAACCGTGAGCTTTATCATACCTCTGCATAAAACTATGTATGGATCCTGCCTCCACTACATCGCTTCCCAAACTATTCCACTTCCTGACTACTCGTGGCTGAAGAAATACTTCCTAACATCGCTGTGATTCATCTGTGTCTTCAACTTCCAACTGTATCCCCTTGTTGCTGTGTCCCATCTGTGTGTGTGTGTGTGTATGTGTGTGTGTGTGTGTGTGTGTGTGTGTGTGTGTGTGTGTGTGTGTGTGTGTGTGTGTAATGTATGTGTGTGTGTTGTGTGTGGTGTGTGTGTGTGTGTGTGTGTGTGCGTGTGTGTGTGTGTGTGTGGTGTGTGTGTGTGTGTGTGTGTGTGTGTGTGTGTGTGGGTGTGTGTGTGTGTGTGTGTGTGTGTGTGAGTGTCTGTGTGTGGGTGTGTGGCGTGTTGGTCGTGTGTGTATCTGTGTGTGTGTCTGTGTGTGTGTGCGTGTGTGTGTTTGTATGTGTGTGTGTGCCTTTTAAGTGAAATATTTTAGTTTCTTAAAATCTATTACTTACATAAAAAATCCTTAATTCCTAACAATATATAATTAAAAATAAATGACAAATATCTCAAAACACGCCAAAATATATTTACCTTTAATCAAGTAATATACTTAGAAATATATTCAAAATTCAGACAGTTGTGGTGAGAGGTTGAATAAGATGTTAGATGTAACTCACAACTTTCTGCTGTAGTCTAGCTTGTGTTTTCTTCATTAACAGTAACTCAACTATGATAGATTGTTTCTGTGGATCCACTACTCGCTGCCGTTCATCTGGAAGCCGTTCATCAAGTTGGCCGTTCTGGTGGTAAGAATGAACAGCAGATCAACAATATAATTCACTTTAGAAAAACAATTATTGATGGTGTCAGGGAACTTACAGAGTCAACCTGACTGAGTGTATCAACACACTATTATAAAGGCGGGACTCACACTTCTGACTACTGACTACTGTACTTAGTACTACAAGAGGGAAAAGTACATAACGTTACATCTGTCAAAGAAAAAATTATGTGTTTTTATAGATATAATTGACTTTCTTACATTCCTAAGTCACGTATGTAGGCATTTCTTTAGTTTCAGGGGTTGCAAAGTGGAATGATTTAGACGAGGCAGCAGTGAAAGCAAACTCAATACACAGCCTCAAGAAAAGATATGATAACGCCCAAGAGGCCAGAAAGCAACGATGCTGTTTGAGTTAGTGCAGATGATGGGGCCAGGAGCTGAGTGTCGATTCCTGCAAACACGATTCCGGTGAGTACCGGAAAAAAAACATCATAGCGAAACTGTTGTTAAAGTTTAGAGTAGAAGCCTGGAAGTCACCCTTAATAATTATGCTCCTACATCACCCTCCATGCATTAAGGTTGCCCTCGTTGCTCCTAGGTGACCCTCCAAGCTACTTAGGTGACCAGTGAAAGGGTGCGTCTCACCTGGAGAAGACATGACGATCAGTCTTGAGCATGTCTTTGGTAGTGAGGCCTTGGTTCCTCTGTGCTGCTGAGCGTCGCACCTTCTGCTTACCCATCACCTTGATGGTCAGGATGCCGTTCTGTAGGTAGTCTACCAGCTGGGGGAGAACGGAGGGCATAAATAGAGAAGTACATGTTGTAGATATGAGCACAATAGGATGGTAAATACCAGGTAATACCAACTAGTCGTGGTCAGACACATGTTCAAACACTCAGAATATTTGATCATAGTGGTAATATAATATGCTGAGTGTTTGAAAAAGTGTCTTTAATCACGACTAATAAGATGTTTAGTAGGTCTGATTATGTAGACTCTATTACTTCTAAGCATAAGGAATAAAAGTCATTACATCCGTGATATAATGTTTTGGATACTTATTATCAATCAATGAATCATGTTCGCTTTATATTCCCTCCCCATAATCTAATGTTTTCACTGAATAAACTTTTCGTGATTCTTATCACCTTGATTTTTTCTGTGTTAGCTTTTAATTTCATTATTTTGCCCACCTAAGCTCATCCATTAATCTTTGCAGTTTCTCTTCTGAATGTTCCCGAAACATTGTGTCATCAGCAAAGAGCATCTGTAACGTCTCCCACTTCTTATTAGATTTATTATAATTTAATCCCATACCTCTTCCCAACACGCTAGCAATCACTTCTTTTACAACTTAGTCTAGACATCCCTGTCTTAGGCCAGTTTTCACTGGAGAAAGGCCTGCCTTCTCTCCCGCATACCTTAACTTGAGACTCGCTTTCTCATAAAAACTTTCACTCTTGTATACACTTGCTACATACACTCACCTGCTGAGTGGCAGGAGAGAAGGTGTATATCTTAGAGTGGGCGAACTCAGGGTTGGAAGTCTCTGAGATCAACTTGGTCTTCGTCTCTTCCTTATCGAGGTAAAACTTGTAGCAGCAGTACATGTCCTGGGGACACGAGGCGGGGAACAACATTAACTTGAAGTGGAGAAGTAGATAACAGTCACATTGTCAAGGAAGAAATATCAATATTTTTAGCCAAGATCTTTGATTTGTGACTTAATTGTTGTGCTCTCTTGTTAATGTAATGAAGATTGATGGTGTGTCAGCATTATTAATGTAATGAAGATTGATGGTGTGTCAGCATTATTAATGTAATGAAGATTGATGGTGTGTCAGCATTATTAATGTAGTGAAGATTGATGGTGTGTCAGTATTATTAATGTAGTGAAGATTGATAGTGTGTCAGTATTATTAATGTAGTGAAGATTGATGGTGTGTCAGTATTATTAATGTAGTGAAGATTGATGGTGTGTCAGCATTATTAATGTAGTGAAGATTGATGGTGTGTCAGCATTATTAATGTAGTGAAGATTGATGGTGTGTCAGCATTATTAATGTAGTGAAGATTGATGGTGTATAATTGTTAATAATGAATTTTATAGCTCATCATGGAAAGGAGAAATACTGCTGATGAAGTTTATAATGAAATATTGAATACATAAGTTACTATAATGATTTATGATAATGATAATGAGAACTTATTACCAGATACAGGTGGAAAAAAAACTTTTATTATCATTTAGAACTTTACTAAAGTTAAAGAGGCGATAACTGAGATATTATATGAAACACACAGAGAGAGAGAGAGAGAGAGAGAGAGAGAGAGAGAGAGAGAGAGAGAGAGAGAGAGAGAGACTATCAGGTTAGATTAAGGTTAGGTTAGGATAGGTTAGGTTAGGTAAGGATAGGTTAGGTTATGTTATGTTAGGATAGGTTAGGTTAGGTTACGTTAGGTTACGTTAGGTTACGTTAGGTTACGTTAGGTTACGTTAGGTTAGGTAAGGATAGGATAAGTTATGTTAGGTTAGGTTAGGTTAGGTATAGGATGGACAGGTTATGTTAGGATAGGTTAGGTTTGGTTACGTTAGGTTACGTTAGGTTACGTTAGGTTACATTAGGTTAGGTAAGGATAGGTAAGTTATTTAGGTTAGGTTAGGTTAGGTTAGGTTAGGTTAGGTATGACTGGACAGGTTATGTTAGATAGGTTTAGGTTAGGTTAGGTAAGAATAGGATAAGTTATGTTAGGTTAGGTTAGGTTAGGTTAGGCTAGGTTATGTTAGGTTAGGTAAGGATAGGACAGGTTATGTTAGGATAGGTTAGGTTTGGTTAGGTTAGGTTAGGTTAGGTTAGGTTAGGATAGTTTAGGATAAATTAAGGTTAAGTTAAGGTTATGTTAACGTAGTTTAAGGTTACGTTGTGTACTCACCGAGTACTTATTGGGTAAACCTTTACAGCTTGTGATCTTGAGCTTAAAGTTGAAGGCTGTGCCCACCAGGTCACTCGGGGAGTCCACAAACTTGTCATCAGCTTCAGTATACTCTTTCCCCTTGGCGTCACACGGGTGTAACTCAAGCTGTAACACCAGCGTCATATTCCTTGTTACATTCCTGATCATATATTTGCTTATATTCTTTGATAATAATAATAATAATAATAATAATAATAATAATAATAATAATAATAATAATAATAATAATAATAATCTTTATTTCTACAAGTACATGGTAACTCTTATACAGACTGTTACAATGTATCGTAATTTTTCTTTTCTTTCATCTATATAATACTACCTCGCTAGCTGCTTCGGTAATAGCTAAATCGAAGTCGTTGGATCGTCGTAGTATTATCGTATTCATCCTTCATCATTTTGATACGGTTAATTAGGTAAGCTCAACCTAGTTCGAGAGTTGGGTTGTTAAGTGACGTCATAATTTGGCGGCTTCTGTTCTCCAGAGGTTACTTACCATTCACGAGGCTTGTTCCCAGTAGTCACTCACCGGCAAGCTCTGAGGACAGCTCTACTCTACATAGACTCTGCCTCTCCTACCCTGTGTTTGGAGAAGCCGGTCCAGCTCATCGTTTCAAAGATTGGCTTACTGTGTTTGCATATACATATATATAAGCAAAACAACCACTCTGAAAGAATAGAGAAATTCCAAGCGCATTCGTGACTACTTACATTATCAAGGATAATGTGAGTAGTCACGAAAGCGCTTGGAATTTCTCTATTCTTTCAGAGTGGTTGTTTTTGCATATTCTGAAATCACCTGTTTACTGTGATCTTATTGCACACACACACACATATATATATATATATATATATATATATATATATATATATATATATATATATATATATATATATATATATATATATATATATATATTTTCCTAGGCAAGGACTTGCCGGGAATTGTGTAGACAGCCTATACTGTCTGCACAGACAGCCCATGCTGTCTGCCAGCTTAGTTCATATTTCGTGCCATGCTGGTGCTGCCACCTATAGGCATTGCCACTTCAGCCTGCCTGCCCTTGCCTCACTCTCACTCACACAGTGGCCTAGCAGGAAGACACAAGGCCTCCAAGTAGCTCTCTCTCGTGGGATGGCCCTCTCGGGCCATGGGCTCAAACACACAAGCCTGTGTACCCACCATGACTTAACAATAAACTAAGAAACCTCTGAAGATGTATCATTTACTCCCCGCTACCAGAACACCAAATAATCCGTTATAAATGGTGGCAGCGGTGGGATGCTGTCTGCCAGCTTAGTTCATATTTCACGCCATGCTGGTGCTGCCTCCTATAGGCGTTGCTACTTCAGCCTGCCTGCCCTTGCCTCACTCTCACTCACACAGTGGCCTAGCAGGAAGACACAAGGCCTACTCCTAGCTCTCGTGGGCATGGCCCTGCCCAGGCCATGGGCACAACACACAAGCCTGTGTACCCACCACGACTTAACAATAAACAAGGAAGCCTCCGAAGAAGTTTATCATTAACCACCCGCTTACAGCCTACCAAACAAACTCGTTATGAATGGTGGGGAGTGGTGGTCGCAGCAGTGTGTTTGCCCAGAGAGAGGAAGGAAGGAATGAAGTCATCTTCACTTCATCATCCCATACAAGAAGAATCCTTCTCTCAACAAGTTATCCTGATGTCGTGTCTGCACGTTTGAGCATCCAGACACAGGTACAAGCAGGATCTAACCGAAATTTGCCGAAATTCTTCGAGAATTGTAAGTGGCGTCCCAGTGACCCCACGCTACAGTGGGACCCATGCTGTTTCTCAAGTCACGTGTTCAGCGTCACTTGTATGTTGCTGTTGTTGTTCAGCTCAGCACAGCTGTTTCAGCAAGCCAGAGGTGAGTTTCGTGGTGATTTCTGCGTCCAGTGTGTTTCCCTGTGTTTGTGGGTGGGAGGAGGAAGAATGGCCAGATACTCCCTCTGCTGTGTTTTCTGCTGTATTCATGTGATTCATTGCCAGAGCTGTGTATCCGAGTGCCCAAGGCCACTCGAAGCTACGTGGATCAGCACGTGGGTGTGGGCAATGTCACGTAGATCTACCAGCCACGTGAGTTACCAGATGTTCCAGGCCTCATGCTGAGGTCTGCTGCCTGCATCACATTAACGTCACCAACGATGCTGCCCGACTTCATGGCGTCACGATGTTTGCTGATGTCACCTCACGATGTCTGCCTGACGTCACCTCGAGATGTCTGCTGACGTCACCTCGCGACATCACATGATGTCACCATCGAGTGTTCAGTAATTATTAAAATATTGTCGAGAATACTAAGAGAAGATATATGTCGTCTGCTAATTCCTCTCAGTCAGTGTTCTCACACTTTAGTATATGTCTTAGTGTCAGTTTATGCACAGAAAAGCATCATTTGCTAGTTTAAGCCATGTTGTACCGTATGTACTGCGGTATGTTTAAAGTTTCTGTGTGTCCAGTGAGGTCTGAGCCAGACCTGAGTAGCACCACTGTGCTAAGTCACCCGATGTGACCAGTGCGTATGACAGCTGATGTCAAGACAGCCCCGAGTGACCGAGCCCTCTTGTACAGAAAGCTTTTATGCTCGTCGCTCGTGATGTTCTGCAGAATCGTACCTGCTACGATTCCCATCGAGATTTGTTTCACTTCACCTCCAGACCTTCAGAATGCAGTTATATGTAGAGAAACAAGTCTGGGGATGCTTAGACTAACCTCTGTTATAACTCCAACTGTCGAGAGAATGACACAGTGTGTCAGCCTCGTGTCACAAGTTTTAGTGAGCAGCCTGCTCAAAGAAGATGTCACTTTGACTGCTAGCTCTCTCACTGCAGTCTGGTGTATGATGTTACGACTCCCAGATGTTTCACCCAGTCATCTCTGCCACGACTCGCTCCACAACTCGCTCCACGCTTGCCGGCAGTGACAGCCCAGTGACAGTACCAGTCGAGAAGTGTCCTGAGTCACTTGCCAGAAGTCCTGCCCAGTTGCCGAGTTTTGTCGACGCCTCACTCGAGGGCACCAGCATGTCATGCCCCAGGTTGAGTGAAAACCTGCAGCGACTCCTATGATGACTGCTTCACCATTCCAGAGGAGACCGTACCCTGTTACGTCACAGCTCAGCCACAGCGATGTCTCCTGTGCTGCAGTATCTGTCCAGATGCAGGAAGCCGTGCAGTGATGCCCTTCGACGCTCAATGCCTTTGACCACGATGTTTAGCACACCCCACATGTTTTTTTTCTTCCCTCCCTGTAGGAAGTTTTTTTTCCATGTCCATATGTATATATATGTTTTTATTTTGTGTTCTGTGCCCTGTTCCTACGAGAGAGAGACAGAGTTTCTTTTACCACCAGTATTGTCGCGTCGGGACGACGCACGGTAGGTGGCCGAGCATATGTAGACAGCCTGTACTGTCTGCACAGAGAGCCCATGCTGTCTGCCAGCTTAGTTCATATTTCGCGCCATGCTGGTGCTGCCACCTTTAGGCGTTGCCACTTCAGCCTGCCTGCCCTTGCCTCACTCTCACTCACACAGCAGCCTAGCAGGAAGACACAAGGCCTACAAGTAGCTCTCTCTCGTGGGATGGCCCTCCCGGGCCATGGGCTCAAACACACAAGCCTGTGTACCCACCATGACTTAACAATAAACTAAGAAGCCTCCGAAGATGTATCATTTACTCCCCGCTACAGAACACCAAATAATCCGTTATAATTGGAATCTTCTCGGATATTGAGAAAGTGGTACCCCACCTGAGCTGTATATAGTGATTTCTATTGTATAGACAGAGATTATCAATTTCATATATTTAAGCATAAGAATTGCTTATGATTTAACGGGCCAAACTATTTAAAAGTGAATGTACTCTTATTCGTATATTCTAGATGAAGTTAAGTATGTTTATTAAAACTAACATAATAGTGATGACCTTGTCTTGATTCACCCCTAGTTTTTGAAGATTGATGAAACTGAGATATCAAGGAAATTGGTTTATTAATAGTATTACGAAAAAAGGAGACTCCTTCCCTTGTTGAGGAGAAAGCAATGTAACCCAGGATAAACAATAATTTAAAAAAAACAAGCTCTTATTTGTAATAAATGGGGGCCTGTCTGGGAGCTCTAGTTTGACCCGTTATTGACCTATTATACTCTACTATGGAAGAGTTAAAATCCTTATTCGAAAACATTACTGCTCAAAGACTAGCCATATTGAAATTACAAACATGTTGGCAAATCGCTAGAGTTTTAGGGGTACCATATGAGAGACACTATTCTGCAAACACAGTGCACTCCATCATACAAAACTTATTGTTTCCCGATGATCAGGACGAATCTGTAGACAAAATAGAGGAAATTGATAGCCTGATTTCCCAGTTATGTAGCACACCTCAGAAAGGAAGGGAATCCGATACGGTGCTACCTCCGGAGGAGATACCAAGAGTTAGTCAGGAAGAGATCGAGGTGGCACTTATAGCCGACCCTATATCTCCAGCCCTTACGATGTTCTCCAGATTGACTGATCCGACCAACCCGGACCTACAAACAGCAATCCGTGACCAAATCCTTCCTTGAAACACTATCCTCAGAGCAATGCAAATGGATAGAGTGCATTCTCCATCTTCAAGCTAACCAGCTTGAGCTGCAACGAAAGTTGAATCAGGAGGACTTCAAAAGAGAGTCGATTCGTTATGAAAGACAGCTATTATGAGAAAAATTAGGCAGTCGAGGTAAAGGTATTCCCAACCACTTTGACCTGCACTGTCTGCTCATTTGGTTCCCAAGTTCAGTGATACTAACCCCGACTCTTTCTTCGAAGCATTCGAAAACCAAGCACACATGATGCATTGGCCCAAGGAACACTGGACTGCCTTGTTACATACAGTCCTTACGTGGAAAGCTCAAAACTGTACGACTAGATTACCTTCTGATCAATATTACAATTATGACATCATGAAAAAAACCGTGTTAGTCTCTTATGAATTGTTACCGGATACTTATCAGAAATTTTCCGGAGTTTAACACGACAACCCATCAATCCTGGCTTGAGTTTGCGAGGGAGAAGCAAACAAGCTCCTGTTCATAATACAGACCTAGCTGACATCAGTGATATACTATGTGCAAAGCCCCTGGTTATACAGAGCTGTCTCTCTCTTTGTGTCCATCTGCTCTGTCTACATCTGTGTCTCTGTCTGCCTATCTTACAGTCTTTCTGTATCTTTGTTCCTTTCTCTTTATTTATATATAATTGTATGCAGAACAACCTCTGTGAGAAAATAGTGAAATTCCAAGCGCTTTCGTGACTTCTCACATTATCAAGGAACTCTGTTCCTTGATTATAGTTCCTTGATAATGTGAGAAGTCACGGAAGCCCTTGGAATTTCACTGTTTTTTCACAGTGGTTGTTCTGCATATTGTGATATCACCTGTTTACTGTGATCTTATTGCATATAATTGTATGTCTGTCAATGTACCTACCTGTTCCCTTGTTCTTTGTCAACCTGTTTCCTCTGTTCATATTTATATAATTTCTTTAGTGTATTGACTTTATTCATCTTCTACATGTATAATAATCATTTGCTTCACGTGAAAGATTCACCTTCACCTCAGACTCCCATGAGTCTTAGACTTATCTTCATTAGACTCATCTTACAAAATAAATTAATTTTTAACATCGTTTTAGTTGATAGAAATAATTTATTTTTTATTATTAAATACTTATCGTCAAGACTCACGCTCACACAAGAGTCACGTTCACACAAGAGTCACGTTCACACAAGAGTTACGTTCATCTGAGACTCACGTTCATCATGCCAACATCAGCGCCCTTGTAGTTAGTAATCTCAAGTTGTTCCTTCAGCTCGACGCTGTAGGCCAGGGGCTGGAGGTTGACCTGCACCGTGCCGATGTGAATCTCAGTGTCCAGTGACTCCTGGAAGGGATCCTCCTCCTGAGGAACACCAAGGAATGCTGAGTTAGTAAACTAATATTAACATAGTTGACACCTAAATCAACCAGCCAGGCTAAAGTGATCTCTTTCTTTCTGTCTGTCTCCCTCTCTCTTTCTGTCTGTCTCTTTCTGTCTGTCTCTCTCTGTCTGTCTTTCACTTTCTCTCTCTCTCTGTCTTTCTCAATCTCTCTTCCCTCAAGGGAGTTCCTTGACGCTGGTGAAGGGCTCTTGTTCTAGGGAATTGGATCTGTGCTTCAGTTCCCTGAACTGAGCCTGAATACCATCCATTCCCCTCCCCCACGTGCGCTGTATAATCCTTCAGGGTTTAGCGCTCCCATGCTTATAATAATCTCAATCTCTCTCTCTCTCTCTCTCTCTCTCTCTCTCTCTCTCTCTCTCTCTCTCTCTCTCTCTCTCTCTCTCTCTCTCTCTCTCTCCCTCCCTCTCTCTCATTTTCACCTAAATAGCAACAATAATGTTTAAGTGTGTTGCTGGAAGTGTACCTCGGGCTTCTCCCACTCGTCCTCATCTTCATACTTCTGGTACATCTCCTTCATCATGTAGAGACGACTGAGGAACTTCTCTTTGGTCCAAACGAACTCCGTCCCATTGGCCAGGTTCTTCATCTTGACGTGTACCTGTCGAACAGCAACCAGGGTTATTCTTACTACTCCTCTTCAAGGGGGGCTCCCTGGCGTGGTGAAGAGGCTCTTGGTCTGAGGAATTAGACCTGTCGGTCTCCTTCCTCAGACCGAACCTAATTACCCCCATCCCCCCTTCCCTATCCCATCCTCCCCTTTTTCCTTTCATCCTCCTCCTCCCCACCACTCCCTTTTGCCCTTCCTCTTTTTGGCCTTTGGGATTTTTCCCACAGGCACGCTGGTTCCTAGGTAGGGGAAAGGGTACCGGGGTCCATCCCATTCCGTTGAGGTTCTTGGCGGTGGCGTAGTTTGCTGTGGAATCTGGATCGCCTGGGGATGTCCCGATCCCTCTCCAGTATCCCGGAGGGTGGCTTTGGGTGTCTTTCGGGTGACGGGTGTATCTCTGGAAGCCACCTTTCGAATTCCAGGGGTGGTGGCCGAAGGAGGTATACTTTGTGGCAGATATCCAGCCGCCCTCTCTTTTGTCCACCGAGGTACGTCGGCAGATGTGAGGTTACTATCCTGTATTGCTGGTTTACCGGCATGAAGGGTAGGGTCTGGCACGGGTTCCATGCTGCATCTGCGCTACTTGCAGTGCTGAGGTCCTCTTGGGCGTGGAGGGAGATTTCCGGCCCTTTCATTCCTCCTGGGAACTATTTCTCCCTGCTCCCCCCTTTTTTTATTCTTTTTTTTCATTTTTATTTTCTTTTCTTCTTTCTTTTTTTCTTAAAAACATAAAGAAAAGAAGTAACCTAACCATGGAGAACCCAGTCCATGAACCTATTACCCCCGGGCCCTTTCTTGATACCACACCCCATTCTGACCCTGCCTCGTTTTTTGACCACTCTTCAGACACTCCTGCTGCCCCTGTACTTCTTGCTGGTGCTGTTTCCTCACCTGCTTCAGGTACCAGGGTTTGACTGACTCCTTCAATTTGTCTCACCTCTGCTCTCCTTTGACTATGCTTCTGGCCTCTCCCTCTATTGTGCGGCAATTTTCGATTCGCCAGCCCGTTTCACGTCGGACCAACTCCGGTCCCACTCCTAAACGCCAACGACAGTCTCCTGATGATGCTACTTCGTTAAGTTCCCATTCTACTCTGAAAAGACCGACACGTCATGCACTCCCTCTCCACGCTCAGTTTCAGACCACACAATGGACTAAATTCTTTACTTTAAGACCGACATCTTCTATTGCCTATCTTTCCGACATTAGTATTGGCAAAACGCTCCTATGCCATGTTGGTAGAGATATTTCATTTCATGCTCTCAAGAGCGGTACATGCATTGTCACTGTCCAGAATGCTACCCAAGCTCATGATCTTTCTTTCCTTTCTCATATTGATACTACTCCTATCACTATTGAAAAACATCTTTCTCTCAATTCTTGTAGTCTTTCTGACATTCTACCCCATGCCATAGTCCAACAGAATTTCCAGACATGTGGCAACGACATTCTTGAACAGCTAGAACTCCAGAATCTCCCAATCCTCAAAGTAGACACTTATGTCCTTCCTGCCTGTGGGCAGAGACGATACCCTTGCAATGTGGCTCGATTAACTTTCGACAGCCGTGAACTCCCGCTCTCTGTTTATGTCGCAGGACATCGGTTACAAGTTCGAAAGGTGATCCCTACAACACAACAGTGTAGAAATTGTTGGTGTTTTGGTCACCCAGCGAAATATTGCAGATCTAAAGCTGAATGCCCAGTCTGTGGTGCCGAGGACCATTCTAATATGTCTTGCAGTTGACCTCCCTCTTGCCTTAATTGTCATGAGGCTCACCCTTCGTACTCTTGCCGTTGCCAGGTCTACTTGAATGAACGTGAAATCCATTGCCTCAAAGAAGCAGAAGGTCTCCCTTATGCTATGGCAGTTTCTCATCTCCACCTCCAAGGGAGACTACCCCGTGTTGTCACTCACAAGCCCCGGTATCGACAAGATCTCGTACAACACCTACCAATCGCCCCTCTACTTCTCAGGAGTCCAAAAAATACCCTTTGCTCAAATCTTCCTTACCCCCTCCTTCCCTTCTTCCACCCCACATTTTACCTTTCCAGTCTCTGTACCTGGTTTTTCCCCTCTCACTGGCTCTATTACAAGTGTGGAGGTTCACCCCCCTCCTCGTTCTGTGCCTCCCTCCCCTGTCCCCTCTCGAGCCTCTCTCTCTTCTGCCTCCTCCCAGGTTTCTGCCTCTTCTGTCCCCTCCCACACTTCATCTCCAGTTCCCAACATGCTTTCGTCCCCCCCCCTACTTTAGTACAGTCCATTACTGTCCCAATCTTTACTCACCCTCCTTCTTCTATCTCCAATATTGTCTCCCATACAATGTCTTTGAGTTCAGAAACACTTGACGCTATTTCAGAATATATTGCAGAGACTAAACCTTCTTTGGACACTGATCCACCTCCTGTTCCTTCTCTTCCCTCTCCTCCATCTCCACAACACCATTCTTCGCAATGCTCCGTTCCTTCTCTGCTTGAACGTCTTCCGATGCCACCGCACGTTGACTTTTCTAACCCCTGTAGTCCGTAGGTGCCCTACCCTACAGATTCCTGGTATTTTCCTCATTGCCAATCATGGTCTATTTACAGTGGAATATCTGCTGCCTCAGGGGTAATCAGGGTGAGCTTCAGATGTTGCTTTACAGGTTTTCCCCTGTTGGTGTTTGCCTACGAGAACCAAAATTACACTCAGCTATTTTCCAACCTATCTCAGGCTATAATTTGTTGTATTCTTCGGATCCTTTCTCAGATGGGACCTTTAATGAAAGTGCCCTTCTTCTATGCAATGATATTCCGTACTGTCAACTATTTGTCCATACTTCGCTGCATTACACTGCAGCCCGTATCCACTTGAATAAGTGGTTTACAATATGTTCTTTATATCTCTCTCCTTCTCGAGCATTTTCTATCCCAGACTTTGCCTTTCTTGTTTCATCCTTACCACCACCACTTCTGTTACTTGGTGATTTTAATGCCCACCATTTCCTCTGGGGAGGGTCTCATTGTGACTCACGTGGCATCCAGTTGAAGGCTTTTCTCATCTCTCACCCTCCATGTTTTAAATACGGGTACTCCCACCCATTTTGATCCTCATACTCATACTCTCTCTTGCATCGATCTATCGGTCTGCTCTTCCTCCACTGCACTAGACTTCGCCTGGTCTTTTCTACCGGACTTATATGACAGCAATCATTTTCCAATCATTCTTACTTCTTCATATTCACCACCTTTCCGTAGCCCTCGTTGGGAATTTGATCGAGCAAATTGGGCCCTTTACTCACAACTCACTGCTTTTAGTGAAGTTTCTTCTTCAACCTCCATTGATGAGCTCCTACACCTCTTCTCGACGTCAGTTTTAACCGCAGCTTCTCATTCTATATCCCAAACCTCAGGCAGGCATTCTCAGAAGTGCGTACCTTGGTGGTCTGCTGCTTGTGCTCGTGCAGTATGTTTGAAACGCGCTGCATGGGGCAGGTACTGGTACAATAGAACCGATGAGAGACTTCTTGATTTTAAGCAGAAGCGTGCGGTCGCTCGCCGTGTCATCCGTGATGCTAAGCGCACTTGCTGGCGAGATTATGTTTCCACCATCACCTCTGCTTCCTCTATGAGTGCAGTCTGGAAAAAAAGTGAGGAAATTGAGTGGTAAATACACTCCTGACCCGGCTCCAGTTCTACGGGTCGCCGGTGTTGATATAGCAAACCCTCTTGACGTTGCCATTGAAATTGGCACTCATCTGGTCTGTATTTCCCGGGGGCTCCATCTATGCTCCTCGTTTCTTTCCTCAAAGTCTGCCAGAGAGTTAGTACCCTTGGACTTTTCTTCTTTCAGAGAAGAACAGTATAATGTGCCTTTTACACTTCGGGAACTGGAGGCAACACTCTCAGCTTGCCGATTATCGGCAGCTGGGCCTGACGACATTCATATTCGGATGTTACAACATTTACATCAGTCAGCCCTTGTAGTCCTCTTACACCTCTTCAATCTTATTTGCTCACAAGGAGTTCTTCCCCAGCTGTGGAAATCTGCCATTGTTCTCCCTTTCCGCAAGCCGGGTACTACGGGACATGATGCCTCCCACTATCGCCCCATTGCTCTTATTAGTGCAGTTTGCAAAGTGATGGAACGTCTGGTAAATTGACGTTTAATGTGGTATTTAGAGACACACAACAGTTTCTCCACTAGTCAATATGGCTTTCGTAAGGGCCGATCTACCATAGACCCCTTACTACGCTTTGATACGTATGTTCGTAATGCCTTTGCGAATAACCACTCAGTTATTGCCATATTTTTTGACCTTGAGAAGGCATATGACACAACTTGGAGGTATAATATTTTGGCGAAAGCCCACTGCTTAGGCCTCCGAGGCAATCTACCATCCTTCCTTAAGAACTTTTTAACTGACAGACATTTCCGTGTTCGAGTCAATAATGTCTCTCCCCAGACTTTGTCCAAGCTGAAGGTGTCCCTCAGGGATGTGTTCTGAGCACAACACTTTTTCTCCTTGCTATAAATGATTTGGCCTCTTTTCTTCCATCCAATATTTGGTCATCACTCTATGTAGATGACTTCGCTATTGCTTGTGCAGACGCTGACTGTCACCTCATTACAGTTTCTCTCCAGCATTCGGCCGACCGTGTTTCCAATTGGGCCACCATGCATGGGTTTAAATTTTCCAGTACCAAAACTCACCAAATTACTTTCACAGACGCTCTGCCCATCTCCAATCTCCTTTGTACCTCTATGGCCCCCTATCCCTGAACGGTTTCACGGGTTTTCGGGCCTTCCTTTGACTTAGGTTACCCGGGAAAAACCTCACATTACCTCACTGAAGGCAACTTTCAAGAGGCTAACCCTTTTAAAACCCCTTGCTCTTTTCAAGGGGAGCGATCGTCGAACCTCCTTCCCCTACATTCACCCTCATTTTACGAAATCGAAGGGTGCCAGATCTATTCAGGGCCTCCCTTACTCTCTCTCCCCTTAAACCCCCAAA